TTATTCTTCTTTTGAGTAGGGAGTGAACTTCTTTGAATCTGGTTCACTGCTCTTATTTCTTTTCTCACACTTCATCTGTTTGTATATATGGCATTCGCCTGAGTGTGAAGTTTTCTTTCAACAAGTGAAGCAGCAGCATTAATCAGATGCTCTTTCACTCATTGCTCTTTATACACTATCTTTTGAGGTGTTCTAGGACCACTCTGACATGATAACTATGAATTGCTTTGTAGATGGAATTATCATGCTCTGAAGGAGCCTGTGCTTCTCACCAGTTTTTAGACATGCTATCAGATGTGATTCAAAGGTTGCTTAAGCCAGTGTACAATTACAGGCGTACGCCGGCTTCTTATATATTGAATCTTGTACACTAAATTAATTAGTGGCTGCTAGGGCCCTCTTTACATTTGTATGCGTACGCTAGTAGTTCGGAAGTGTACGCGTACGCTAGTAGTTCGGAAGCAGCCGCGTTATTATCCGACGGTCGTACGTTCTTCCGAATCACAAGAGCAGAATTTATTTCTAATCACTCATCTAACTACTCTTACTCAGATGTATACAGATCTCAAGCAGTCTTTATATTAATTATATGATTTTATATGCATGTCATTGATCAGAGAAAACTCTTCACTACTTTTAATTTGAAATCTAGTATGATTCTGATTCTTTAATATCTCTAAACTAGACTGTTCAGAGAAATTCATTAAAATCAGATTATATCTGAGTGAATACAAAGACAATCTTTGTATATTAGAACTTAATGTTATTCTGTCTATTAATCATATATATATATGGTGAAAATCATTTTCTTCTAGTTCATTGATGAATCCTCTGTAGTCAAGTCTCAGAAGATTGTGAATGTAATCAAATAGATCATGAACAAGTTATCTTGTGTTAGAGATAGAATTCAAACCTGCAGCTCTGATGTCTTAGAAGGGTCATTCTCTCATAGCCAGTTCTCATCATGGACAGCACTTTTTCCCCATCAAACTACTATCAGTAAAGAAGATTTTTTACCATGTCTCATCTGTTTGTAAAATTAATTCCCCTTGTTGTTCACATGGTGGGGCCAAAATGTTATAGTAGTAGTAGCATGAAATGATCTAACTGGATTTGAATTTGATGTGAGGATGTGAAGCAATGAAGCATGAAGCAGACTGAATGAAATGAAGCTGACACTTTTTGTTAGTCATTTTGCATTTTTAGCTGAATTATTATTATTATTGGTTCTGACCTGACACAACAATGTTTCTGCGGGAAACTTCAACTCCCAACTCTTGTCATGGTGATGAACCAGACAGATAAGAACAGGTTCTTGATATGCACTACATACACCTAGTTACAATGTGGTGAAGGAACTTGCGCCACACTTCCCACTCATGTTGTCCCTGATAACTCTTTTCTGTGGCTTTTCACTCTTGGTCGGGGCGGTGGCGACTCAGCTGCTATTAATATTACTCAGTGTACTCCGTAGCGTATCTCCCATAGACAGGTACCTATCATTTTGCATTTTTTGCTCTAATCATGGAATAATAACAGTTCCCTTCTGGCTCTCCAGTCCATAGAAAAGTTCAAAAAAGTGCAAAGGATCATATTATTTATTAATTCTTTTTAAGAAGAAGAAAATAACTCAGAAGTGGAGGTTCTGTTTTCAAAGGAATGAGCAATTTTTTTTTTTTTTTTAAGTTCCCCCTGCCACGAGGCAAAAAGATGCGGGCTATAAAACCGGACAGACGGGACGGCGGGTGAGGTTACGAACTTACAGGTAGCGACAGAACACAGTTTTCCCCACACAACTACCCACGCTCAAAGTTCATACATACATACATAACCCTCTCGTTGTTTTCTCGGTGAGTTGACCATGGCAGTTGTTCGAGAAGGTCAATCCCATGAGTGATAGATGATTGAGAAAAGCCAATTGATCGAAAACGAGGTCTTGTGTTTGCAGCGTTTTTAGGGTATCGTATCAACCGTCCGGGGGAAGAATAATAATATATACTGGGGACTGCGCGTGTCTGCTGCGCCGCGCGGGGCGTGGGTGTTATTAAAATATAATGATAATTATAATCAGAATACGTCTGTCTGTAATCTGTACTCTAAATAATCAGAAGAAGGATAGTTAGTAAGAGTCACACATGGATTGGGTCCTGTCTTCGTACCCCGTACCCCCCCGTATGTTTGTCTCTACTACTACTACTACTACTACTACTACTACTACTACTACTACTACTACTACTACTACTACTACTACTTATTGCGACACTCGCGATGAAAGGAAAATAATAACCTAAACATAGAGATATATAGAGGAGTATGATATGCCATATTATCATCATCGTGTACTGTGTTAAGAACAGTGTTCAAAATAAGAGCTCCCAAAGCATCTTTTAAACTTAACGTTATTATATTATTGAATTTTGTATGTATGTACATCTCCGTACAGACTAGTTACTCCTTATGCCAAGTTGAGTCCAAAGTTATTTTTCTGAGTTAACTAGTGGAAGTTAAGTCATTTAAACTTTCTCACCAGACCCAGTCTCATTAATCTTGAAGGGGCGCAGAGTGAAGTAATAATACTACTTGGAATTTGGCGGAGCGGACGGCACGGTTGACGGTTGAACGGTTTGACAATGAAGGGGGAGGGAGGAAAGAAGGCAATGAGCCAAAATTGAAAAAAATAAATAAAAATAAAAATAAAAAATAAAAAAATAAAGATAAAGTAAAAATAAACCATCGCGTATGTTGTGTTTTGATCGAGACGAGACAGAGCGCGGTTGGTAGGTAGGGATGAATATGATTGTTTGCTCGAAAAGGTACTGCAGAGTATGTGATCCCCCGCCTCCCGCGAAGTTAATTATAAAGAATGATAACTACTAAAAGGCGCCTTCACCCCCTTTGACCAGGCGGCGGGGATAGGATAGCCTGATAGGGGAGTCATCTTTTTTGTTCTTTTTCTTTTTCTGCCATATATTTTCTGTTTGCCGGATGCCCTAATAACCCAGAAGGAAGTTGGCTGAAATATTTTGTTAATATGTTGTTTTCATAATGGCAATTGCCTGTCCTGTCCTATCAAGTACTGTACGGAGTAGTTACATTTTACATACATTACATAGTACAGCCGGGAGTACTACTGCTTTCAACAGGTTCCAAAGGTACACGCATGGAGATGGGGATATCAATACATCCCGTGCAAATTGAGGACCGGAAAGAGTAATAATGCCCTCAGCATTTAGGTAACCGTTGTAGTTAACTAGTTATAGGATGTTGCTGGCAATATATTATTACTACACAAGAGGGATGTCATGCCATCCTGCCAGCCCCAGGACATGCTATCCTATCCCCACTAATCAGGGCGGGCTTGCTGGGATTAGAAGAGAAACGGATAAAATAATTGCTGTCCAGATGCAACCAACAGGTCTGAGGAGAAGTTAACCTCATGGCATGGCATAAGCTGTGGTGGGAAGGGTATTGAGTAGATTATTTAGAATCATATTATTATTTCTCGTCGTATTAACAATTGTTGTCTAATTTGAAGCGTAATATATAGACTATCTAATATAACAATAATAATAATAATAATTATTATTATATCGCACGCACAACCTTAAAAAAAAACAGAAGTGGTGGGGTTTGGAACTTCTGCGCCATGATATGATGATATGATGATGATCCACACCCGCCAGTCAGTGATCAGTTCTAGTCAGTGATGAGCAGAATCCGCCTACGCGCCCTGGTATTTTTAGAGATTATTATTATTATTATATTATTATTTAACATTATTATTGTTAACTATTATTTTATTTCCCTCGCGCGAGTTCGTTGGGTTCTAGGAGGAATAATAATGATCAAGGCAATGATGGAATAATAATAACACAGCTCCTCCCAATCTGTTTCCTCTGTTTCCTTGTAGGGCGTCAAGGCCAAACCTTCCCATGTTATCAATTAGTTATCCATATCAGTATCATCATTCATCGTTTACTGTGTATCAAAGAAGACACCAGACCCAGCTGCTCCTCGTCCAGGGCGGCTGCGACAGACAGACAGACAGACAGACAGACAGACAGACAGACAGACAGAGTAATAAGTAGTGGGTGAGGGCCTCCTCGACTTTTAGCACTTTTCCCTGCTTCTTGTCTGCTTCTGCTCTCTTCTTACTTTCTTACTTTTTTTACTTTCTGACTTTCTGACTTTACCCGTCTTCCTTTTCTTCTGCTACTACTATTTCTTCTTCTTCTTCTTCTTCCTTTCTCTCTCTCCCCCAATTTCTCTCCCTCCCACTAATTTCCTCACTCGGCCCCATAGTTATCTACGTATCTCCATTTCTCAATCTTCTTCCCATTCTCCCATCTGGCTCCATCTGGGCCTATATCTTCCACACTTCACCCTCCCCTCTAATATCTCTCACTCACTCACTCTCACTCCTCCTCCTCCCCCTCTCCCCCCTTCACCGGCACCGCTGCCACAACCCTCGCCACAACTTCTTTGATATCAGCCATATCAGCTCATATCGCCGGTCTGGGTCCCCTGCTTTTTGATTCCTCACCCTGGCTGTTCTTCCCACTCCTCCACTCCTACATACGAACCCCAATCCATACTCATCTCATAGGTACTGTATTTTCCTGCGCGTCTCTTCCTGCTTTTTCCCTGCTTTTTCCCTTCATCTTCCTCATCTATTATCTCTTCTGTCGCCCTTCCTTCGTCCTTGATTTACTTACTCTCTCTTCACTCCCCCAATATTCCGTTGGGTTTGTGGTCGCTTTTTCGCCCAACTCAACTGCCAATATCATCCGTTTCCCCCACATGCCTCCGTGCTCCCCCTGTGCAACTTCCCCTACCCTTTTTGCCCTGTCTGCTGCTTGCTGTGTGGTGAGATTTTTGATAGACCAGCTGTGCAGACTCTTGTCCCTCCCTTCCGACTAGTAGTAGTTTAGTTCAGGCTTCTCGTTTTCACCCCCCATATAAACACCTCCCCCCCCCCCCCCCCCAGGCGGGAAGCCCGAAATCTTTCCTGCATCTATCTACCTAGCCTAGGTCCCGTTCCCGTTCTCATTTGCCCTCTCTTTCGGTTTCATTTCTTTTTTTTTTTCCTTTTTTTCTTTTTTCTTTTGTTTCTTTTGGACACCATAACCCCCCCCTTCCCTTCCCTTCCCCTCCCCTCCCCTCTTCATCATCCTGACCCTGATCCCCGAGCCTGTTTCATAGCTGCTCCTGTGCTGCTTCTTTGTATGCTCCTGTGTGTTCCTGGTGTTCCTGGTGTTCTCCGCCCTGCATCCTCCTCCTCTCCATCCTCCCATCCATGAAATAGCCACTGCCATTGCCGCCAAAGTCTGTTTGTCGCAGCTCTACTTTTGCCGTGCGGCCGTCATATCCATGGATACATTCCCACGTCCACTTCAGAACCTTTTCTTTTTTCTTTTTTTTTGTGTGTGTTCGTTCTCTTGCTGGGTGAACTCCAATCACTATTCTTATCACCACTCTTATTAAACACCACACACCACACTACACTACAACACGCACCACACCACCATCACCATCCATTCCATCATCGTTTCCGCCACTAATACTCACACCCGCCAATCTTAACCTTAACTAACCTCCACTCTACCCAACAGTCCCCCCCCCCCCCCAAAATTGCTGTGGATGTATCACTACGCCAAGCGTTTTTCGCCAGGTTGCGCCTGATTTTTCACAATGTCCTCGTCGCAGTCGGCCGCTGCGACTCCGGACAGGAACCGTTCCCCCTCCACCAAGGCCTCCGACCAGTTGTCTACCGAAAATGCTTCTTCGCGAAACGGGATCGTTGACTCGACAGCTCCCAAATCTAACCCGGTCGTAAATGGTCTGCAGTCCCAGCCAATGACGGCCACTACATCTTCTGCGTCCTCTCCAACCTCAGACACGGTACCCCAGAACATCACCACTCCCTCAGCGACTGGCGCCGTTCCCTATGGTACTCGTTCTAGAAATCGAGTTGGTGGCGCTCGACCGAACTATGCGGAGGATCGCGACATTGATGCTGATTACGAACTTGTTGCTTCAATGTCGCGGTCTGGCGGTTCCAAGAGAGCCTCCAACGCAAACCACGGCGCCACTTCCCCAAGCACAGACAATGACAAGGCGACCGGGGATAAGCACGCGAAGACAGGCGACTACGAATAATAGCTCGAGTTCTGCTCCGCAAACGAAAGAACCTATCCCCGGAACGTCGTCATTTTCTGCCAATCTCAGTAGCAATAGTTCCACAGCGTCAAAGAAACGAAAACAGCCGGGCTCGCACCAATCTACTCCTGCTTCCTCCACGCCAAACACCATCTCCCTCTCATCCACCAAGAAATTCATCGCGCCCGCAAACATATCGCCCGAATACCAGAAAGCGCATGGGCAGAACATGTTGACCTTCAATAATTGTAAGGCATATTTACATCAGGGAAAGCTGAAAGCAGACGATGGCACTATTCTTAGTCTAAATGGTAAGTAAGCTTGCGATATGACGCCTTACATCCTTAATATGCGAATTATAGTAAATTTCTTTTCCCCACTTATTTGCCGTGACTATCTAACTTGGTCTTCTCTAATCCCTCCGTGCTAGACCATGTGTATCTGGTCTGCGAGCCTCCCGGCGAACCCTACTACCTTGCTCGCATTATGGAATTCCTGCCGTCCAAAGATAACCCTGACGGACCCATCGAGAGCATAAGGGTCAATTGGTACTATCGCCCTCGCGACATCCATCGCAACGTTTCCGATCCGCGCGTCGTCTTTGCTTCAATGCACTCCGATACATGTCCATTGTCATCACTTCGCGGTAAATGCCATATCAAACACCAGTCAGAAATCACAAATATGGATGACTACAGAAAATCCAAGGATTGCTTTTGGTTTGAGAAGATGTATGATCGCTACATCCAGCGATATTATGACGTTATCCCAACGAGTAAGGTCATAAATGTACCACAACATGTCAAGAAAGTTTTGGATGAGCGGTGGAAGTACGTGTTGGTTGAGGTAGGCCGGAGAAAGGATTTGACCAGTGCAGTTAAAACCTGCAAAAAGTGTAGTTTGTATGCCGCAAAGTATGTAGCCAGAAATCCCTTCTCACTTATTATTATTATTATTATTATTATTTTTGTTTTATTATTATCCTACTTTGGCCGGCTCACTAATACGATTACTAGTACGGATTCTGTGGATTGTGCTGTTTGTCATAGTACATATCACATGTACTGTGTTCGGCCTGTGCTGCAAAAGAAACCAGCGCGCGGGTTCGCTTGGGCTTGCGCCGCATGCAGTCGCGCCCAAGAACGAAAGCTGGAGGCAAGGAACACCCCCATTATTGGAGAAGTGTCGGCCGAGACTGAAGTAGAGCCCTGTGAGGAGGAAGAAGAAGATCCCACCGCTCTAGCGGAAGCCACGCAACGAAGCACACCTGCTCTCCCGGATGTAGTTCGACCTGCCACCAGTGAGCAGATTGCCCAGGCAAAGCTATGGCCTTTTAGGTATTTGGGAATACATTGTCGAGTGGAAGACGCTTTGGACTATGACGACAGGATATATCCCCGAGCAAGCTCTCGAATAGGGCCCCGCCACCAAGCGAACGTTATCCCATGGTATGGCCACCCAGTTCAATATGTCAAAGCTCCCGAACCGAAAAAGAGGAACGTCAAGTCTGCCAATAAGAAGGATCTTAAGCTTTCCAGGGAAGCTGTTGCTGCGATGGAAGCTGAGAAAGCTGAACGAGCTAAGCGACCGAAGTGGGTCCAAGATGAACCTGTGGGCTATATTCCTCGCGGAGAAGACGCGCCAGTTACTGTGAACGGCAAACAGATCCGCACCGCAGAGCTGCTTGTTAAGATGCCTGACGCTTCGCAACTTCCCTCTCGCGGTGAAGATGACGCTCCAGGGTCTTCCATAAGTGATGCAGATCGCGAGAAATTCATCGACGAGTATATGGCCAAAGCCAAAGAGATCGCCCCTTCTCTCAAAGTTGAGAGATATTCTACAAATTTCCTGGACAAGGCACTCGAGCTTCTTTACGCAGAGAATTTTAATGTGCAAGCTGCACTGACAAGACTAAAACAAGTCAACAAGTATGCAGATCTCAAGGAGCCACATCTCCGCCCAGAAGAGGTTAAGGCGTTTGAAAGCGGGGTAGCTTTATACGGGTCCGAGCTCCGGAATGTGACAAAACATGTCGGGACTGTCCCACATCGTCACATTGTTCGATATTACTACATGTGGAAAAAGACTCCGAAAGGTCGTCAAATTTGGGGCAATTTCGACGGGCGAAGGGGGAGGAAAGCAGCGAAACAAGCGGATAGTGCGGTAAAACTGGTTGACGACGTCGCAGATGATTATGACGATTCGGCATTTGATAATGACAAGGCAAAGGACAAAAAAAGGGGTTTTACATGCAAATTCTGTTCGACGAGGTCGTCAAGACAATGGAGGCGGGCTCCTGGAACTCCTCCTGGTACTGCCGTTTCAACAGACCCGAAACGAGACAAAGCAGTTCAAAGTCTCACTGTTGCGATTTGTCAACGATGTGCTACTCTCTGGAGAAAGTATGGTATCCAGTGGGAAGATGCTGACGAAGTTGTGAAGAAGATTGGTCAAGGGGGAAACAAGTCATGGCGCCGGCGCTATGAGGAGGAGCTACTCATTCAGCTTCTCACCTCGTCTGAGACTGATGTCAAAATCAATAGCACTACTGCAACAATAGCCACCTCGTTAGGAATTTCCCTCACAGCCGAAGTGGTTGCACCACCCCCTCCGTCGGAACCACCAAAGAAGAAGGTCAAGTCATCGGATCAGAATGGTTCCGCTCCTGGAACTAGTACCCCAGCCGAACCCGCTCCTGCTCCGAGAAAGAAGGTGGTTGATAAGCCCGCTGAGCCCCCTCCAATTGCCCCAGAGCCACCTAGGGTGAAAACTCTTCCATGTGCAGTATGCGACAAAATGGATCCCATGGGCGATCAGCATCTGTCCTGTCGCGACTGCCGTTTGACTGTTCATCGAGCCTGCTATGGTGTAAGCCCTTCATGGAACTCGTCAAAATGGTTCTGCGATATGTGCTCGAATGACAGGAACCCCGCGATTTCAACGTCGTATGAATGCGTTTTATGCCCAGTTACGTATACTGAGCATGAGTTGATGGAGCCGCCCAAGGTTTCGCACAAGAAGAAAACAGACCGGGAGCGTGAAAAGGAGCGTCTGGAGAAAGAAATGGTTGCCGAGGCTAGCAAGCTCTATAAAATACGGCAAAAGGAGGCTGGAAAACCAACGGGTCCGCGCGAGCCGCTCAAAAGAACTGCGGGTAACAATTGGGTTCATGTTACCTGTGCAGTCTGGGTGCCTGAAATCAAATTTGGAAATGCAAAGGAGCTGGAACCTGCTGAAGGGTTTGGGCTGATCCCTGCTGAAAGGTTCCAAGATAATTGCAAAATCTGCAAGACGCGACACGGCGCCTGCGTTTCCTGCCATAACACGACTTGCAATGCACGGTTTCATGTGGGATGTGCTCGTCAAGCGGGTTACACTTTCGGTTTCGACATTACCCCAGTCAAGAGCACCCGAAGGGATACTGTCAACACGATGAAATTGGGCGACGAGGTGGGTGCGGCTACGCCTGCTATTTGGTGTCCTCAGCATCCGATTTCCACTATTGTCCATGAAATGAGCGAGCCTAGTGAGGTTGAGGGGTTGAATGCGCTACAACTCTATTGCCGGACTTCCAAGCAAGCCGACCTCACACTCACGGGTACTGTCCGGAAAGCTGCGCATGTCCAACAATCCGTTGGAGTGTCGATTCAGAATGGTTTCCACCCGCCTAACCGACGAGTTTCCGTCAATGGAACTACCCCACACCACAACAGCAAGGATAACAGCCATGTCGCTTCAAGGCTGTCAACAGAACCCATCCATGGAAGCAGCTCCACTGGTCTGGTCAATGGCGATGCTGTAAACTCCGACCACAACAAAAAGTGTTTCAATTGCAATTCAACGTTCAGCCCGAAGTGGTGGACGGTCGAGTCGTCTTTGGAATTCTCCGCGGCTAGGGGTGAAAATCGCCTTATGATGAACGGTGTTGCCCCGAAGGATGGTCCTGGTTCGGCGTATTCCCACGCAACCCCAACCGCCAGCTCGCCTTTTCAAGCACCATCTGGTCATGTGGAAAAGTTGCCGCCCATTCCTATGATCAATGGGGATGTCCTTATGGTGGACGCAGACCGCCAAATTCCATCTACCCAAGACGCTCCACGAAGTTTCCCAAGACCTAGAGCACTACACGAATGCCATAAATGCCACGTTAGGAAGCAATCGATATCACCGGTGGAGTCAGAAGTTCGTCCTTCCCCATACAGCGCTAAGCGGGATCCGAGCCTACCTGCTGCCCGTATTTCTGAGTTCCCTCACCACCAGTATTCGCCATCACCACACGCCCACCCGACACCGCACCCCCCAACTCTACCTATGCCTCCAATCGTACAGATGCACAGCCACGGCACTCCAGATTGGCGTCCGGAGTACGAACAACGGCCAGGAGATTATGGGCCACAGCTCATGCGCAATGGCATGCCGCCCGGTGGTCCTCCACCCAGCGGCCTTCAACCACTTGGACCACGAAATTTCCATGCCGGCCCTCCCCCCCAACCTCCGCAACATTTGAACGGCTACCACCCTTCGCTCCCACCCCACCACCAAGGTCATCCGCACGCCCCTCCTCCGCAACAGCACTATGGAAACGGCGTTCCACCTCCACCTCCGCATTCATACTCCGCTCACCAGAGTCCATATGGCCCGGTCCCCTTACCGCCACCAAATGTGCATGGCCCTCCACAACCCCACCAGCCAACTCCCCCGCCCCCTTCAAATCGGCCGTACAACGCAGCCGCCCCTAACAACACCACCTCACCAGCCCCTCATTTCTCTCCGCCACATACATTAAACACCCTCCCGCCAAATTCTCGCATGTTCTCAGTCGACCGGCCCATTGCACCAGGCCATCAGTCGCCCTCATCGACGCGCCATAGCCTTGACTCACCGCGCCCGGCCACCCCTGCAGCTGGAGATGAAAACATTTCACCATCGGCCAATGGATCTGCGAGGCCTAGTAGTTCCGGACGTTTTCATAACACGAATGTACCAACGAGCGGAGCTGGATCTGGGGCTAGCGCGAGCCCGTCGCTGAAGAACCTACTATCATAATAAATGTAATCAGACTCCGTTCGTGTGGTCTCTGGTATGGAAAATGCTTTTGGGGTAAAAATTTCCCTATTAATCCCCCCTAAATTTTATTTCCTTTTATTTGAAGGGTGGTTAACTTCGCCTAGGGCATTAATTTGCACCCCCCCCCCCCCCCCCCCCTCCTTTTTTTTTTTTTTTTTTCTTTCCTTCCTCTACTTTGGGTTTTTAGGAATAATCAACTCTCTTCTTTCTAGTGGCTTATACTTATGTCTGAGCGAGCCACACTTGTAATGTGGACAGCAAAATAATCTTCTCATTACGTTAACCTTCCTTCCCTTCTCTAAGGAGGAGGACAGGCAATTTTATTTTTTCCCTTCTTTTTTCCTTTTTCTGTTTTAAGGTGTTATCTTGGTCTAGCTGGATATAATGGGGGGATGGATATCATAGATTTGTTATCATTATGAGTAGTAAGTATTTGGAAAGAGATGATTTCCTGCTTTTCTCTTCTTCTCTTTTCTTTTCTTCTCTTCCCTCCTCTTTTCTGCTTGTGGTGGGTTTGGTGGCCAGGACGATGGATGGTTGATACTTAATCCACTTTTGCTCTTCTGCTCTCTTTTTTCACATTTCTTCCTTCTGTTCTGTATTACCTCTGGGTGTGTTAGTGCTAATAACGGAATAGAAGTCAGGGAAAATAAATAATTAAAGCTTGAGAAAAAATAAGCTTTATGCTATATAAACCAAGCAAGCAACCCCCCCTTCTTCTCATCTCCTTCTCCGTGAACATTTTACGATATACAGAGAACTAAATCACTCGACCCCCTCGGTCCCCTGTTTAATATATATATATGTCCCCCTCAGCAAGTCCTCAGCATATCCATCAACGCTTGCTTTTCAGGATCGGTGATTGTCAAATTGTAGGCGGATTTGACTTGGACCCACATGCAGGCGTATGTGCAGTAGTAGGTCGCTGGGGTTGGGTTAGCATGGTTAAAAGGAGGAGGAGGGGAGGGCTCGCGGTGTGAGTGAAAGGAAACTTACTAAGAGGGGGTTTCCATTTATCTGGTCCTTTGTCGCCCTTTTCTTTGTTGACCTGTTGGTTTTGCAGGGTTAGAAGGGCCAATAATTCCCCCCCCCTCAAAAAAAAAAAAAAAAAAAAAAAAAAAAACCAACCTTGTCCTTAACAGAAATCAACTGCGGATTCATCATATCATTCGCAAAGTCCCGCCTCCGCTCCCTCGTCCACCCCGACGCCCCGCTCTTCCACGCATCACTTAGCGCCACCAAATGGTCGATGTCCACATCGCTGGGGCTCGTCAACGTCGCGCCGTCATAGGGACTGTACCACGACCCCGATTTTGGGGAGCAGTTCTTGCCGACTGTTACGTTCATGCCGTCGCGCTTTAGCACCGTCTCGCGGGTGTTGCAGGGGCCACTGATGGTGATCCAGTGCGGAAATTTAGTGCGGCTGTAGCCAGTCTGGGGCCCCTGCGGGGAGACGACCATTAAGTCGAGGAGGCGGCTGGCTTCAGGTGGGCTGGGGATGTTGGGGGGATCGCGTGTGTGGAGGGGGATGGTGGAGGATGTGGTGAGGGCTGTGAGGGCTGCGAGAAGGAGGAAGACAGTGTGAGGGACCATCTTGACTTTTTTCTTATTGTTGTTGTTGTTGTTGTTGTTGGTGGTGGTGGTGGTGGTGGGGTGATTTACTACTACTGTCTACTATGGAGGAATAGGGGGAAGGAAAAAAAGGGGGGAGAGCGAGGAGACAGGGGATGGTTTTGTCTTTTATATGTTTCTACATCTATACCCAATAATTCTTGCGCGGGATGGAGAGGGGGTTAGTTCCTTGGGGAATGTCGATATACCCCGATATACTCCTCATGGCATGCATGGTATGGCATTGTTCCCGTGCAAGGCCTATCTCACTCAGGCTGTCTCAGCAAGCTCAGTTGCTGCTGGGAAAATATTGCGGTGTTACTTTTACCTACGCTGTAGTTAAGTTAACACTAAAACGATGATTAGTCAGTCTTGTATCAAATAGGTTGTTGGTGTTAAGGGTCCCGCGGTTGGTCGGCCCTTCTACCAGCAGTGCGCTGGTGGTGATCGAGCTCTTTTGCCCCAGTAGCCTACAGGTTATGAGACCGTTAAGCATGAGCCCCGCTGTGATCAACATGCATGAGTTTGATCCCAGAATGGACTTAAAAATTCCTAACAAATACCCTGGACATTTTAACAGTGTCAAGAGACATCCCAGAAGTGTGCCCTAGAAGTCCTGTGAGCCCTAGGACTGACTGAGTCCATTATTAAAAAGAAGCCATTGTGGGGAGATCACTGAAGAGAGCCACTGAGAGGAAGTACTGTACTCTGTGGTAGCTGGTCTGAGGGGGGGTGTTGGGGGTCCCGCAGTTGATTGGCCCTTCTACCAGCAGTGCGCTGGTGGTGATCGAGCTCTTTTGCCCCAGTAGCCTACAGTTAATAAGCCAAATTAACTTGGGAACATTCTTAATTTATTCTATGCATTGTCAGAAAAGAAACAATTCCTGTTTATTAGTAACATGAGAATGAATTTGCTCTATACTCGATCTTGGAGTAACTTTCTTTGAGTAACTTAGTAGACTTGGCTGCTGAAACCAGGTATTTTCATGTTTCGTCTCATTTGATCTTGGGTCTCATACATTCCTTAGAATGATTGTCATCAAAACCTATCTATCATTAGACAGATTTTATCTTGGTTCATCCGGAGTAACTAGCTCGTATAAAGCCCACTTTTTAAAATTTGCTGAGGCTCTCATTGTAACGGTACCTAGTCCCCAGTGTCAGGTGCAGGCGAGTCACCGCTATAAGAATTGGCAAGGAACCAGGCCAGTCGTTGTTATATAAGTCTTTTCGGCCTAGGTGGTAAGAGACTTGGTGGCAGCTCGTAACTATGAGTCGAGACACTCATGATAGCTTCTGTATGAGCTTCATAATCTTCATGTAAGTTGCACGTAATTGAAATAAATGAGTTGATGCAGCTGTACTTTTTTACACATATGTAAATTTCATTAATGACTCTCATAGAGTCAAGAATATCTAGTGAATTATTAAAGTATACTTATATCTAGACTGGCCGCCGGGACCATGAATTTCACATTTGGTCTCATTTGGTCTGGTCCCATACATTTCTTGGCGTGAATCCCGCTGGGTGTAACGTGGCGGAACCGAAGCAGTGGCTAGTCGGCGGCGTCACATAGGGGTAGTTGTTTGGGAAGCTGTATGAGTGGGCTTGACTATCTTGCTTGAATAGCGAGCTTGTAGGCTACAGGGTTATTGCAAGAATATCACAGATATGGTACTTAGTATATTAAGAAGATTGTATAAGACATGCAGTAACTCTTTGTATATATTTCAGTAGAAGAAAAAATGAATCATTGACTTCTTTAATAAGAAGCCAGTATCTAGTTATTCTATATAGACAATGAGCAGATACTCTTCTCTTATTTTATAAGTGAGAATAGTCAGAGTGATATCTCAGCAGTATCTTATTATTAAGAAAGAGTAATCTGCTGATCTTATATAGAAGTAAGATTCTTATATTTATTAATCAGATCTTTCTATAATATATCTGAATAATATTATAAAGTGATTAAAAATCAGTTCAGATAGAATAAAATTATCTGTATAAAAGTAATAAGCTGTATAAAACTGTAATAGAGTCTTAACACAGCTGAGAGTATAATAATATTCTTCTCTTTAAGAGTATAGTTCTGATACTCTTAAGATTACTGAATTAGAAGTTATTTTTATTATATAGCAATAATTGCTAATCAATTAACAGTATATATACTATATATGATATAAAGAAATAAATGAGTTTTTCTACTAACTGTATAAATCTTTCTTTACTCATCTTCATTCAAATCAAACATGTGATAAGTGAGTTTCTTATATATTAATTTAAAATGTGAAAAATGTAGTTAATAAGTGACTTATAAATCTTTTATTATATTCTATTCTATATATGAAATTCTCTGTAAAAGTGATGTATTTTAGAGACAAAGTTAACAGTAGTGACAGAATTTTTTAAAAAGATCTTCTTCTTTATAACACATTTTTCTTCTCTCTCTCTTATCTGTAATAGTGACTGCATGAGAGTATCATTCTTGAGAGATAATAAGAGACTTATTCTGATATTTTCTAGTGAATAAATATCTTTGTGATATGACTATGATCTCTGTGATTATCAAGAAAACCAGATTGAAGGCAGAGACAGTGATATTAATAAGTTATAAAAGTACTGCTTTTATTGTCACATCTTCTTCTACTTCTCTTACAGCTGTAGCAGTAGTTACTATGTCTTGCAGTGAAATGTTATCTCTTCTATCAGTTAGTTTATTCATATCTGATTCATTCTCTGCTCTCTCTATCACTGTTATAACACTGTTCTCTCTCTTAGTTAATACAGTAATATATAACTCTGTGTGATTATTCAGAGAGAAATCTGAGAAGAGCTTGATTCTGAAGATAGTGACTCTGAGAAGCTCAATCTATAGTTTCTCTCTCACAGCACACTCAAGCTCTGCTCAGAATGCTACTGAGTTAAGTCTGCAGAATTCTGTAATTTCTTTATCTTCTCTCTGTAAGAAGGCTTCAGTATAATCTCTGACTAATACTATTATTTATCTACACTGTACTAAGCAGCTGAAGAAGAGAGAGATTTTATATATCTATCTCTTCTCTCACTTCTATTATTTTTATTATACTTATAATAATAACTTCTATCTCTCTGTAAGTATTATCTACTCTATAAGAAGATATTATATTAACTCTGACAAGAAGCTCAGATGCTTAAGCAGTATAGAGTGAGAATCTCAGAGCTTTAAGTATTAATAAATTCTATTAAGACTGAAGAGATTCTTCTTACTTATCTATAAAAGAAGATGAAAGTGTAAATCTCTGAGATGAAAAAACATCTTAGAATAACTGATATTAAGAAGAGATTAGTCAGTGTTACTGTTAAAAGTACTGTAGAGATTAATTACTTATTGAAGAGAATTTTACTTCAGTTGAAACAGATAACTGAGATATTTTATAAGTTAATAAATTAATATTTTTAGTATCTCTTATACTCTTCTACAGTATGCTTCTCTACAGTATTACAGTACTAACTTCTCAGCAGATAAAGATATCAGTGTCAGAGACTTTAATAATAAAGAATGAGTTTAATGAGAATGTAATTATTAATATAATATAATGAAACTGAAGCAGTGACTAGTCAGCAGTGTTATATAGAGATAGTTATTTAAAAAGTTATATAAGTAAGCTTAACTATCTTACTTGAATAGTGAGCTCATAGACTACAGAGTTATTGTAAGAATATCATAGATATGATACTTAGTATACTAAGAAGATTGTATAAAATATGCAGTAACTCTTATATATATTTCAGTAGAAGAAAAAATAAATCACTGACTTTTTTAATAAGAAGCTAGCATCTAGCTATTCTATATAAATAATAAGTAAATACTCTTCTCTCATTTTATAAGTAAGAATAGTTAGAGTGATATCTCAGTAGTATTTTACTATTAAGAAAAAGTAATCTGCTGATTTTATATAGAAGTAAGATTCTTATATTTATTAATTAAATCTTTCTATAATATATCTAAATAATGTCATAGAGTGATTGAAAACTGATTCAGATAGAATAAAATTATTCATATAAAAGTAATAAGCTGTGTTAAACTGTAGTAGAGTCTTAATATAATTAGAAGTATAATAATACTCTTCTCTTTAAAAGTATAGTCTCAATGCTCTTAAGATTACTGAATTAGAAATTATCTTTATTATATAGCAATAGTTACTAACTGATTAACAGTATATATACTATATAAAGAAATAGATGAGTTTTTCTGCTAACTGTGTAGATCTTTCTTTTCTTATCTTTATTTAAATTAAATATATGATAAGTAAGTTCTTTATATATTGATTTAAAATATGAAAAATATAGTTAATAAGTGACTTATAGATCTCTCATTATATTTCATTCTATATATAAAATTCTCTGTAAAAGTGATGTATTTTAGAGACAAAGTTAATAGTAGTGATAGAATTTTTTGAAAAGATCTCTTTCTCTCTATAATATATTTTTCTTCTCTCTCTCTCATCTGTAATAGTGAGTGTATGAGAGCATCATTCTTGAGAGATAATAAGAGGCTTATTCTGATATTTTTTAGTAAATAATAAATATCTTTATGATGTGACTGCAGCCTTCATAAGTGTTAAGAAAGCCAGGTTGAAGATAAAGATAATGATGTCAATAAGCTGCAGAAGCACTGCTTTTATTATCACATCTTCTTCTTCTTCTTCTTCTACTTCTCTTACAGCCGCAGTGATAGTCACTGTGTCTTGCAGTGAGATGTTATCTCTTCTACTAATCAGTTTATCTGTATCTAATTCTTTCTCTGCTTTTCTTATTACTGTTGTAACACTGCTCTCTTCTTCAGTTAATATAGTAATATATAACTCTGTGTGATCATTCTGAGAGAAATCTGAAAAGAGCTTGATTTCAGAGACAGTGACTTTAAAAAGCTTAATCTGTAGTTTCTCTTCTGCAGTATATCTGAGCTCTGCTTAAGATACTGCTGAGTTAAGTCTGCAGAATTCTGCAGTTTCTTTATCTTCTCTCTGTGAGAAGACTTCAGTATAGTCTCTAGCTAATATTACTATTTATCTATACTGTGCTAAGCAGCTGAAGAAGAGGAGAATTTTATGTATTTACTTCTTCTCTCACTTCTGTTGTTTCTATTATACTTATAACAATAACTTCTATCTCTCTGTAAGTGAGATGCTTGAGTTCCGGATTTAATGTATCTTCTGCGGGTTTCAAACTCACACACCTTGGTTTCGCACGCCAAGGCGCTATCAGGTGGCCGTATTAATCATTTGATCACTGAGGCATATACTCTGTTCTCTGTATCTATTTAATATTCTA